TGATCTTGTGCTAGTTTTTTAATCAAAATGTTGTTTAGTACCAAGTCAAATGCCTTAGAAAAGTCGAGGTATGTTATATCAACATGATTACCTTACCAACCTTGTCATCTCATTTTAAAAAATCAAGTTAGTTTGACAAGATTAATGCAAATCAATACAGAAAATCAATTACATTACCCTCCTTTAATTCTTTATTAATCTAGTCCCATCTCAGCCATTCCATTATTTTGCCCAAGATTGATATATATATATCAGAATTGGAAAAGGTGCAGAGGAGGGCAACAAAAATGATTAGAGGTATGGTACAGCTTCTATATGAGACGAGATTAAAAAACTGGACTGTTCAGATTAGAAAAGAGATGACTAAGGGAGTATATGACAGAGGTTTATAGAATTGTGAATGGCATAAGGAAGAATTACTTACCCCTTCACATAACACAAGAACTAGGGGTCACCCACAGAAATGAATAGGCAGCAGGTTTAAAACAAACCAAATGATGTACTTCTTCACACAATGCACAGTCAACCTCTGGAACTCATTGCCAGGAGACGCAGTAAAGGCTAAAAGTATAACTGGGTTCAAAAAAGACTTAAATAAGTTCATGGAGTATAGGTCTATCAATGGCTATTAGCCAAAGTCAAGGACACAACCCCATGCTCTGGTTGTCCCTAAACCTCCAACTGCCACAAATATGTGGCACTGGCCATGGTCAGAGAGACACTAGTGGGCTAGATGGACCTTTGGTAAGACCCAGGATGGCCATTATTATATTCTTAGGCCTGGCCTATAATTATCCTGATCTTTCCATTTTAAAAAAATTGGCACATTAGCTTTTTTCCCAGTCTTCTGAAATTCTTTCATTTTACTGAACATCGACATTAATGGTCCAGTGAGCTCTTCAGACAGCTCTTTTTAAAGTCTTGGATGCAAGTTTTCTGGGCACGTAGATTTTTCACATGTCTGATTTTAATAGTTTCTGTTTAACATCCTCCAGAGATATTAGTGGAATGGAAAGAGTGTTATCACCATTTGATGAGACTATTATCTATTTTTCCCCAACTACAGAACAGAAATATTTATTGAACTCTTCTGCCTTTTCTACATTATTATTGATAGTTTTACCATTTGCATCTAGTAATGGATCAGGATTATTTTTGTTCCTAGTATATTTTAAAAACTCCTCCTTATTGTCTTTCACTCTGTGGGCCACAGATTTCTCCTTGTGTCTCTTCGTTTCCTTTATTGGTTTTCAACAGTTTCTCACTTCTGATTTACATTCATCACTATCAACTTCCCTTTTCTTCCATTTGTTATATATATTTTTTCATAGCTGCCTTCACTTCCACTCTAAAGTAGGTTGTTATTGTAACCAGCACAGCCTTCTTCTCAGTTGTGGGATTGTGGCTTTTGGGGGCGTCTGTAAAGTGTTCTTAAATTATTCCCAATTATCGTTCACATTTTTCGGATTAAATTCTTCCTCCCATGATAGTTTCATATGTCCCCAAAATCCGCTGGGCTATTGTTTGAACACTGATGTAAATTTACATCTGATGGCATGTGGAAGACAGTATAGCTGTTTGTGCTGTCACTACATAGTAAAGATGGTGAGGTGTGAGAAATATTTGAAGTAAGCATAGCTGAGGATCCACTTCTGAATTTCCACACTGAGGCCCAGATTCTGCTCTCAGTTATTCTGGTGCAAATCTAGAATAACTCCATTGTGGCTCTGTTGGATTCATCGCCCAGACTATTTCCTTGTGTGGTTTAAACAGAGAAAAAGAGAGAGAGAGACAGAGAGAGAGAGAGAGAGCTTGCTTTTTGAAAAAGAGAAATTGCATAGTGCCAGCAATCAAGACCAGCACTAATTACAGCCTGTCCCTCAGGCTGATAATCAGTCTGTAACCTGTGGTGCTGCACTCTCTCTTCCAATTTTGGCTCCTAACAATTAAATGCAATTTAGATTCCAGCCCTGAACCTTATGAAAGTGGGAGTATTGTTGCTGCCTCCCCGTGTTTTCCTCTTGGCACCATCCCTATTGAGAACTGAGAAAGCCATTCCAGGTGATAACAAAGGAAGCCTGATCCAGGCTCCTTCGCATTTCACAATGGAAGTGTTGTGTACTGATAATGCATGGGCAAATGTTATTATTCCAGCGGCTAAATTAATTGTTACATGAATTCCTTGGAGAGCTAACTGTAGAATAGATATAAAATTGAGCAGCAAAACAAACAAATGAAAAAAAAAAAAAAAGGGTGTGCCCTTCCATTACTTGATGGATAATACTGACCAAAAACTATCCTCAAAAATCCCCTGCCACAAAAAAAAAAAGATTTTTACATGACAAATAAAATATAATGATTAATTCGTTAGTTAATGGATCAAGCCCTAGCCATGTTAAAGACTGAATTTTGCTCTGCAAACAACAGCAACATCTGTACTCCTCTGGGACAATGCAGATCACCAGGCCCAGAGTAAAGCGCATGAGAGGTGGGGATAAAACATTCTTGGTGGAGGGGATCTGGCTGTGGAGCAAACTTCCAGGGAAGATCTGGCAAATCCACAGCCTGACTGTCTTTAGGAAATCTTACAAAAATGTCCTCTTCGAGAAGGCCTTTCGACCATAGGATTGACATTGACACGCTAACAACACCTTCTACCTGTAAACACCAACCAACCACAAAAAAAGAGAAAATTAATAAAATCTAAAAAACCCAAACCCAATAATACCACCCCAACCAGAATTCTTACCTGGAAAAGGGAGACTCCGCGAAGTCCACTTGGAATTTTGTTTTTGCTATGGTGATTTTATGTGGAAGTTGCTTAGACACGATGGTGATGTGCAACATAGAATGTCATCAGCTCTAAAATTCAATGGCCCCAATGCTCCCTCACTGACCACAGTGTGAATTAGAGGTAACGCCGCTGAAATCAGTGAAGTTACAGTGATGCAACTGGGAGTTATGCTCCTTAGGCCTTTTGAAAAGCTCCCTCCATATTTCTGATATAAAAAAAGGAGGCAGGAAAAAGATCTTTGAGCAGAAACTTGGTGTATTGTTTATCATTTGTGCCAGTTCCTGTATCATGTAAGAATGGAAAAGGGCACAAATGCACTTAGGTTCTTTACAGTTCATCTTTAATATGCATCGTAACTATGGTCATGATTTTCAGCTAAAGGTAAAGTAGCACTAAGCAAACATATACAAGATGATTAGAAATACCTCAAACAAATAAGAAGTTTTGTGACTCCAGCTTTTATAGGAATACACTTAGCAATCAGTCTGAATAATTAATAAGGCGTAATAATAATGCAATACAACTTTATTCATGACTGTTTTATCTAGTATTAAATATTCCAAAGGAATAGGATCTTCCACCATTTCCCTAGGAAGAGTATCCCACAGTTTAATACATCTCACTATGAGATGGTTTTTCCTGAAGTTCAGCCTAAATTTTATTTCTTCACTTCAAATAATTCCTTCTGGATATGTATAGTAATATTAGGACTTGGCACTTTTCATCTCTAGATCCCACAGCACTTCACAAAGACAAGTAAATATCATGATCCCCATTTTACAGATGGGGAAAACAAGGTGCAAAGTCACACACAATGAAAAAACCATTTCAGAGCCATAAACAGAACCCAAATCTTGTCCATTGCAACATGCTGTCTCTCACATTTGAAAGTTTGCACCCTTCAGGGGTATGTAAATTGTTCTTATGAGCTCCTAGCTATACTTACACGTTAGGTTATCTGTTATGGAGGGACAAGTTTCCAACTAGGGATTCTAGACAGCAGTAGTGCAGTGCAATTGCTCAAAAGTAAACATGTCCACTGTACTCTAATAGCTAAGGAGAGTGATTTGTGTGTGCATGAAGGGGGAGGTAAATATGGGGCTTATAGAAACTCTATTGAGATTTTCATTGTCCAAGGCATTGTTCCTTTTTTAAATACATACCAAATTTTGTTTCCCATTTCTAAGTAGGACTTCAGCCAACAACCATGCTATTTTGCAGCCAACATGGCATTATTGCTGCTTTGCCTTTCTGCAGTAGACATGCTTTGTCTAGTGACGAGAGAGGGGCAGAATTTTTACCTGCTAGTTCATGGTGCGGTCTTTCTTGGTTTGTGAAACTATCCAGTATTGCAGACAGAAATAATTTTCCATTATTAAATTTTAAAAGGGGTTTAAGATAATTAAGAGATGCTTCCTAAAAGTTTGCTAATGGATTTGAATGTTAGGCTTTTGGAGAGGAACTGGTAGTTGTCTCTCTCTCTTTGTGTCTTGGGGTTTCAATAGCCTTCACTATTGAATTATCTATGCATTTCCCACTCTGCATATTGAAGTTCCCAGTGGACTTCATGGAGTTGTCTACTCTTTTCCCTTCCCTGATTATTTATGTGTTTGTTTATTTGTTTAAATAAATTATTTCAGTAATTGTGGGCCCAATCCAAGGAAAAACATTAAGGGCTTGCCTACACAAGAAAGTTACACTCATTTAACTTAAGTGTGATTTTAAATTGATATAGTTAAACTGGTACAAAAGACAGTGTAGACACTTTTGTTTTGATTTAAACCAAGCATACTTCAATTTAGCTATTGAAATAAGAATGTCCAAACATCTTTTGGCACCAATGAGTTAAATAGCCAATATGGCATTACTTACATTACATAAATCGACTTAAAACCAATTTAAGTTAAGTGGAACTGTCTTGGGTAGAGAAAGCATTAGGTTAGTAGACACATGCTTAATCTCACTTAAATTACCTTTTAGTGGCCCCTAATTCTTTAGTGTAATAAAGAATTCTACAGTAATTATTCAATATATTACACCATGCAATATCAGTAATGCAGCATTTGGGGAGATTGAGTGAGTACTGTTGAATAATGTAATATGTAGCGGTTGTTTTGGCTATTTATAAATTTCATTTGTTTTGTTACATTTAAAGCGTAACATTCAAAAGTTGACAAGCGCTCTGACATTTTCTCCTCTATTCCAGCCAGAAAACCTCGCTTCAAGTTCTCACACTTTCAAAAACAAGACCTTTAAAAAACCCAAAGACTGTAGTATCTGCAAACAAGCCATTGACAGCCAAGGCATTTCCTGCAGAGGTGAGTAACGTTATGTGGCCTATTTATTGTCTTGCTATTTAAAACACAGCATTTTTGACTAGTGCTGAAGAGCTAGGAATTAATAATTTTGGAATTCCCCCTGTGCCAAATGTCTATATACTCTAACTTGTTTGCTCTGTGTGTTCAGCATTAGACTTAATTTTTATTTGGACTTGTATAGATATGTGCCTTTATTAGCTATGCTATTCAGGCAGGTTCCAGAATAAGACTGTCTGTGCAAGCTCTGTTAGGAGCATGTGTGTGTGAATGAGTGAGTTGATAGATGCCTATGGAATTTAGCCTGCAAATGAGGAAGTGACCCTGAGCTCACTGAGGCATGAAAGCTTTCTCTGCATGAATTCTTTACTGAAATTCAGAAGAGCTGCCATTTTTTTTACAGTTGCTTTATGGTCTTGTATTTCAAGTCTGTGATTCAGCCTAATCGTTCACACAGACACTGAGGGGGCTCTCGTTCCTCTGCTTCCACATGCAAAGGAGGGGGGAGTCAGCTGCCTCTGACACTGGTTTCCCCCTCTCTCCTCTCCATCATACAGAGGACCCTCCGTGGGTCCAGAGATCCTCATGTGGGGAAAAGGCAGAAAATGTAGTAGGGAGGGGAATGAAAGAGAGAGACCCTTTTCCTTTTCTGTACACAAGCAGTAAATATACTCAAAATGTGGATTCATGAGGCTTCATTCATTTATTCACAGTGCTCTGTCGGCATAGAGAATCACGCTTGAGGGAGGGTAGTTATTGGGGCATCTGTCAGTAGAGTTGCAAAGTAATCAGTTTGCAGCAGAGCAGGAGAGTAAAAGCACGGGCCCTTTTGCATAAATGACCTTGAGATCTGCCTGGATCCCAGGGATCCCCAAGTTCTACCTTCCTTCTTCCATGAAACAATTTGGGAAAAGCTCAAGATTTGCTTCCTTCTAGGGCCTCTCCCACAGGTTTCCCCATGAGAGGGTTTGATCCCTCCATTGATTTCAGCTGGTTAATGTTTAACAATATCTTGTTACTCCACCTCAATAAATCTGTCTCTCTAACAAATGCACATATAATCCACCTATTTAATATAAGCAAATGCTTCTTGCCCCTCACTTTAAATATAGACAATAATTTTATTTTATGAAGTATCTGCTTGGTGCTAGTGGCATTTTTCTAATGAAATGGAGATTTCTTTCTTCCTTTCTTTCACCAAGAGGCCCAGCCTCTGTGTTCCTTGCACTTGCAAAACTCTCATTAGGAGTTAATGGGAGATTTGGGTATGTAAAGAATGCAGGATTAGGTGGTGTGTGTGTGTGTCTGTGTGTGTACGTACATGCGTTCTTGAAAAGGTATAAACGTCACAAATGGACAGTTGCATGAATAATATCCCATTTGTTCAGCATTAGTTCAAAGGCATTTTGTTATAATTGCAGGAATGTCAGAAAATGTACAAATAATACAGCCGCTGTCAGCTTTGAAGAGGTTTAATCCCTAATGAGGCGTTCCCTAGAATTTCATTGTTTTCATTTCTGGGGGGGGGAAATTAGAGGATTCTCCCTCTTGGGATCCAGCAGCATAAAAGAACCATGGATCTGGCTAGGGAGGAGTTCCCTCAAGCAGGAACTGAATTAGACTGCCACAGGCTATTTTACAAAGCCCACTCCATAAGCTCCGGTATAGGGACCAGGGGCTGGGGGGGAAATGCCAGTAGGGCTGTAGAGGACCATGGACAGTTTGGGTTGGGTGGTTGTAGCTTAGGCACTGTTTCAGCCCCTGCGGCAGCCCAGAATCAGAAAGGCACAAAGGTGGTTACCGCCACCTTACCTCTCCTCTCCCTAGGCAGCAAGTGTTTTGTTGTACCTCCCTCAGGCCGATCACAAAATTACACCCAATATGTTTAAACAAAATTTCCTCCCACCTCCATATCATTAAGGCTACATCTACACTGCACACGTCTTGCAGCAGCATGTAGGGTATGTGTAGCTACATGTCGCAGTGAAAAGCAGGCTGTGTCCACACTGTGGTGTGGAGCTACATATGTCAGTGAAAGGCTCTGGCAGGGGAGAGTCAGTGGGGAAAGGATCAGCAGCAGGGAGAGCCTTTCCCCACTGCTGGAGTCATTCCCTGCAGCAGGGAAAGGCTCCAGCCATGTTGGGTACATACCCACAGGGTTCACGTATGTTTTTGCTCTATTTGCCTAAGCAGACTCATCATCTATACTGCTGGGGGCAGGGGCGGCTAGTTATATGGGCCCGTGGTGCCTGGGCTCCAGCAAATTCAGGGCCTGGGGGACCCAGCTTCACCAATGTTCGGGGCCGGGTCTCTCCCCTGGCCCGCCTGCTATCCCCGCACGCCTCCCCCGGAGCATCCCCTGGCCCCGCCTGCTGCCCCCACGCACCTCCCCCGAGCATCCTTGCCTGCCCTGGGCAGCGGGGGGCTGCCTCCTGCAGCTCCGCACTGAGCTCCCTCACCAGCTGCTGCCAGCTACAAGAGAGCGGAGCCGGGGGCAAGCTGAGGCGGCTGCTGTACCTGCGGAGGGAGGAGGGGAGGAGTTGCATGGCAGCCCCTCCCCCCCCGGCAGGCGACTCCTAGTCGACTTGGGGGGGGGGGGGGCTTATCTTGGCTGGACCTCCTGAGCAGCAGCCTGGCGGGGCTTGGGTGAGTGTCCTGCCGGGGAGCGGAGGGGTCCTCCCCTTCCCTGGAGCTCGCTGCTGCCGGCAGGGCGAGGGCTGGGGGAAGTTCTCCTCTCTGGCCCCCAGCCCCGGGGTAGCCTGCCTGCTGCACTGCAAACTCCTCATCCCTGGCCAGCCTCATGCCCCGCACCGCCTCCTGCACCTCAACCCCTGTCCCAGCCCAGACCCCGCACCCAAACTCCCTCCCAGAACCTGCACCCTAAACCCCCACCTACATCCCAACACCCTCCCAGAGCCCACACCCCCTCCTACACCCCAACCCCCTGCCCCAGCCCAGAGCCTGCACCCAGCATCCAAACTCCATCCCAGAGCCCACACCTAAACGTCCTCCCAGAGCCTTAGGCAGGTGTGTGTGGGGGCGGGACCTGGACCTGTTCTGGGCACCACCAAAAATTATACAAACCTCTCGAGGTCCCTTCCAGTCCTAGAATCTATGAATCTATGAAAACCTGCCACCCCTGATTGAGGGAGCGGGGAGTGTCATGCATTTACTCTACACCAGGGATTCCCAAACTTGGTTCACGGGTAAGCCCCTGGCAGGCCGTGAGATGCTTTGTTTACCTGAGTGTCCGCAGGTATGGCCGCTCGCAGCTCCCAGTGGCTGCGGTTCGCTGTTCGTGGCCAATGGGAACTGCGAGCAGCCGTACGTGTGGACGCTCAGGTAAACAAAGCGCCTCGCAGCCTGCCCCAGGTTTACCCTGAACAAGCCGCGAACCAAGTCTGGGAACCCCTGCTCTACATGGTGCTGAAAGGAGTGTGCCGTATAGACATACTGTAAGGGTGAAGTTATCCATGTGATTAATTAGGTGTTGTCCCATAATTAAGGTTCCACGAAAGATGGAATTACCACACCAACCCTTGGACACGTTGCTGGGTGGCGCCATAGTCCCTCCCACTGCTATTATTCCACTATTGCCATGCCCCGAATGCAAAAATCATAAGTCAGACCCAAAACATTCATGAGATTGGTCCGAAATCACGAGAGCTTAAAAAAATGCTGTTTTGAGCTGTCTTCTGATTTTTGAACTCCCCCTACCCAACCTGCAGATTGTCCATGACAAATAGTGTTGCCAATGCATAGTGACAAATACGATTCTGGCCACCTTTCCCCTACATCATCATTAATCATTATTCTTATTCTTAGTGTGTCAATTAATTTTGTGCTCCAGCCTCTACTTCAACAGCATTGCCAACTCTCTAAATTTCTTTGCCAGGAAGGCTATTTTGGCTGGGGCTGCAGCTAATCTGGGTGCCAGAAGCTTGAGTCCTCTCTTAAATTTCAGTCCTGTCTGCGGGGGAAACCCTCTAATTGTTTGCCTTCCCCAATTCCCCATCTCCTGGGGAAGAGCAGCCAATCAAGGCTGCTGTAGGAGAAAGACAGAGCGCTGCCCCCTCCCCTCAGTAGCCAGGAGAGTTTTGGGGTAGAGTAGGAGGGAGAAGGAGCCCAGCAGTTCAGGGTATCCCTGCCTCCTCCACCCCATTCCCTTCCTTTGAACAGTGGGTTAGTCTGATGTCTGCATATCTTTCTCCCTGCAACACCATACTGGGAAGAAGGAGAGGGGGTTGAAGAAGCCCTGGAGCTGCAGGAGAGGAGCAGTGGGGCTGGGGGAGAATTGATGTGTGGCAGGATTGACGGGACTGGGGTCAGGCAGATGTGGAGGCTCGGGGGGGGGGTCACAGAATTGATCTGGGGGCTGTGAGGGAGAGACAGAATGTGTTAATTAGAATGTTGAGGTCTTGGGCAGAAGCTGGAAACTCCACCCCATGAGGCAGCCAGTGAGAGCTCCGGCAAAGGGAGCCAAAATCATCTTGCTCCATAAATCTGGGAGCATTGGGAACACTAATTGTCACACACACTGGGAGTGGGTAGGGGAAGTTTAAAAATCAAAAGACAGACCAAAAAAACACAATATATTGGGTTTTGGGGGGCCAATCCCATGAATTTTGAACTTTGGGGGTTGGCAGTGTTGCATCAACTCTGCATCCTCCGGCCCCAATCAATAAATGTCCTGGCTTCCAGCCCCACATTTGCTCCTCCTGAAGTTATGCAGGTTTTTCATCCCTCCAAGGTAGGGCAGCTCCAAGGGGTCCTCTCCTTCTTCCCAGGCCTGGTGTTGCAGAGTTAGAAATAGCCCGGGGGCGGGAGGAGCAGAGAAGAGATGACCTATTATTCACAGGAGGAGCGTGGGGAGCAGAGCAGCCCTGGTTTGCTGCTCCCTCATGGAAATGATACAGCTGCTCCCTCTGCACAACCTTACCCCATTATGCAAATCTCCTCTTAGATCTTGAAGGAAAGGGCAGAGAAAGCTCTGCCTGCACCTG